GAACTCCTTTATTTATACTTCTTATTTCTTTTATGCAATCTATTTTTTTCATGATGTTTTCTCAAATCACCATGTCTGAGTAGTTTGTTAGTTAAGTTAGGGCTTTTCAAAGGTTGAAGAAGAGTTTGTAGAATTGCTAAAAACTTCTAGGAAATTCATTGGTTCTTCATCTGTGCTTGCATTCATATCGATTTCTTAGACACATCATCTGGATTTCGAAACCCTAGGTTTTTGATAGATGTGAGAGCATTATTAATCACCTGAACTAGTATTAGATGAGCAAAACGCCCTAGTACAAAGAGATTTGGCTTAGGAGTTTTGTGAACAATTGAACCTGATCATTACTGCATGTTTAGGTTGTTAGGGTTTGCAAAGAGATTTGAAACTCTGTGATTTAGACATAGATAACTTCTGCAATGAGAATTGATTAGTTATATCTTCGCGATTCATGTTCAAGACGGTTTTAATTCATTCCTGATTGCATGCATTCTACACTCTCAGATTCAACCTGCGAACTGTCCTGACTTAGCGCCTTTAGCCTTCTGAACTTTAAGAACAAGCATAAAAACGCCCTCTTGCATTTATTTTACTATTTTGCATTACATTCATTATTTATCGCTTAGCTTAATCTGAATCTATAATCGCTAGTGTGGTTTACATACTCCCTTGGGATTTGATAACCCCTTGTACTACAACTGCTTTTGCTGTGCACTTGCAGTAGTTTTATTTGGGTAAAACCTGACCCTATCACTCTGACAACAACTAGAGGAAGCTATGATCAATCCTATCCCGGATGATACCCTCTTATCCTCCCTCAACAAAGAACTCTCACTGGCTTATCAAACCGAAGAAGAGTTCTGGAAGCAAAGAAGTAGACAACTGTGGTTAGCACTCGGAGATCAAAACACGAGCTTCTTCCACCCATCAACAAAGAACAGAAAATCAGCTAATAAGTTCTTTGTCCTAGAAAATGAAGAAGGACTTGCCTGTCACGAGGAAAATGAGATCCTTCTAATAATCACGGATTACTTATCTTCAAATCACAGGAGGGTGACAGAGTGATAGCAGTAATGGAGGCTATTAGCCCCAAGATCACAGAGGAGATGAATCAAGCCCTCATAGTCCTACCATTACCAAAGGAAATAAAGGAAGCATGCATCTCCATCCACACCGACAAAGCCCTGGGTCCAGATGGCTTCTCAGCGAGTTTCTTTCAATCAAACTGGGAGATAGTATGCGAAAGTATTGTAACAGAGATCCAAGACTTCTTATTGGGAATCCTGCCAAGAAACATCAACAAAACTCACGTGAGACTTATTCCAAAGATTCTAAACCCTAAAAAAATATTCGACTATAGACCAATAGCATTGTGTAGTGTATACTACTAGATCATTTCAAAGCTACTTACCATGAGACTACAACCACTGCTGCCACATGTGATATCAGAAAACCAGTCAGCTTTTGTCCCCAAGAGGGCGATTGCTGACAATGTCCTGATCACCCATGAAGTTCTTCATTACCTGAAAACATCAAAAGCAAAGCAAAGATGTTATATGTCGGTGAAGACCGACATGAGTAAGGCCTATGATCGTATTGAATGGAGCTTTATTGAAATGGTACTTACACGCCTGGAATTTCATAAGCAATGGATCCTTTGGATAATGCAATGCATCAGTACAGTCACGTACACGTACCTAATCAACGACGCGGCCCAAAATTCTGTTTCACCACAATGGGGGATATGATAAGGCGATCCGCTATCCCTTTTCATCTTCATTCTTTGCAGTGAGGTCCTATCTGGCATGTGTCAAAGGGCACAGGAGGATGGATCCCTCCCGGGAATCAGAGTCTCCTAGAGAAGCCCACGACTAAACCACATTCTCTTTGCCGACGATACTACATTCTTCTGCAAGTCAGATGAAGGAAGCTGCAAAAAGTTATTGGAAATCATTCACACCTATGAAAGAGCTTCGGGCCAAGCCATAAACCAACAAAAGTCGGCCATAAATTTCTCATCTAAGACCCCGCAACTTACACGGAAACGCATAAAGAAATATATGGGTATCCAAAAAGAGGGAGGTCTTGGCAGGTATCTAGAATTACCCGAGCACTTTGGAAGGAAAAAAAGGATCTTTTCAGCTCCATCGTAGACCGTATAATGCAGAGAGCGGTCAGTTGGTCTTCACGATTCCTATCACCAGCGGGAAAGCTAACTCTCCTCAAGTCTGTACTAGCCTCTCTCTCCCCACTTATAACATGTCATGCTTCAAACTCCCTGTGTCATTGTGCAAAAGAATCCAGTCAGCTCTCACGAGATTTTGGTGAGACTCTATCAGAGGTGCTTAGAAAATATGTTGGATGCCGTGGAAGAAGCTTACCAAATCTAAGAGAGACGGATGTCTAGGTTTCAGAGATATTTAAAATTTCAATGATGCCCTCTTGGCAAAGCTCAGCTGGAGGATTCTAACATCTCCACAGAGTCTGCTGGCCAGAGTACTACTGGGTAACTACTGCCATTCGACCCCCTTTCTCAAGTGCTATGTAGCTTCTTCTGCTTCTCATGGTTGGAGAAGCATATGTGCAGGAAGGGATCTCCTTAACAAATGTCTGGGGAAAATGATTGGAAATGGAGAATCCACACAGCTTTGGAGCGAACCGTGGTTATCGCTAGCTACCCCAACCATACTGATGGGTCCTGCACCTGAAGCCTTTAAAGATTTTACCGTCAACGATCTCATATTAAAGGAAGATGGTGCTTGGGACTACAACAAAATAAGAAGCATCTTACCAGACTATGAACATGACATCTTAATGATCAAACCCAGCTTGAGAGGAGCTTGAGACTGCTATGCCTGGCTCCCAACAGAAACGGGAGAATACACGACACGGTTAAGCTATTTTGCAGCAATCAAAGATTCAAGCGACAATGTTTATCAACCACCAAAAATCAGAGATTTCAAATTGAAAGCAAACATCTGGGATTTGAAGTGCTCACCTAAAACAAAAACCTTCTTGAGGAAAGTGATGAACGAAGCAATCCCTTTGGGGGACAATCTTGTAGCATGAATAGTAAATACCCAGGAACTTGCCCTCACTGTGGAGACCTCGAAACCTCCACTCATCTCTTCTTTCAATGCCCCTACGCAGCTCAGGTTTGGCTACAATCTCCAGTCAGCAACCCTTTCATATCGAACCAAATTAAAAAGTTTAGACAGGGGATTGAAATGGCCAACAAGCTGATTAATCTCCCACCATCGGGATTAAATCAAGGACCTTTGTCCCCTTGGGTGATTTAGGCCTTTTGGATTCAGTAGAAACAAAAAGATGTTTGAGGGAAGGAGTACATCACCTGCATATTGCATGCCCCATGCTTTACTTCTAGCTCGTGAATGGCAAGCAGCACAACCGCAAAGGTCAAACGCCCCAAAGACGAGAAGTTCAATCACAATCAATCCAGCGGATCTCGATACAACCTGTTGCATGACAGATGCAGCCTGGTATGAGGGACGAAACACCGCGGGCTTCAGATGGATCTTCACATCCAACTCCACATCTAGGATCCAGAAGGGATCAGCAACAGCGGACCACATTAGATCTACCCTAATGGCAGAAACAGTGGCTACTCCCTTGCTCTTCAAGACGCCAAAAGGATGGGTATCCGCAATCACCATAGCTTCTGATTCGCAGAAGGTGATCAGAGCCATCACGTCGGAGACTCAATTTAAGGAGCTTCATGGAATCATTCATGATATCCAAGATCTATCCTCTTCTTTCGTCTTTTGGTCTTTCTGTTTCATTTCACGAGATGCAAATGCCTTAGCCGGTTCTTTAGCTAAGGAAGCACTTGGGTCTTGTTGTACCAAACCGGTTTAACACATTTAATGAGATAAACCAACCCTTTAAACAAAAAAAAAATTATTTTTTGAAATCTCTATGTGCGGACCAACCATCTATCCGCTCTTAGGATTAGTAAAGACCGTAAAACCTATTTTTGTTTAATTTATAATAGAATGAAATATATACTTAAAATATATATATATTAGCAAGATTATATTGTGTAACGAGAAAATAAAACATAGTATAGATAATATTTAAACAAATATTGTAAGAATTTAATTATTATTGAATATAACTTTTATATTTACATTTTTATGTCACAATAAATATTAAAAAAATAAATAAGTTTTAAAAAGCATCAAAGTTTTTAGATTACTGAAACATTGCTTGAAATTAAAGGTTAGTGCTCTAGTCATGTGTCTTTGTAACATGATTCTATGGGTAAAATATGCAATGGAACTAGATTTATTGTTACTCAAATAGCTCAAAATGTGGTTGAAGTTAGAATTATAACTGGAAATGAGAAACAGATTGGTCAAATAATTCTAATCTTATGATGTATGGAATACCACTAGACACAAAGTTTCCTTTCAGAATGCGTCGTAGATAGTTCTTTTTGGCAATGACCATCAACAAAAGCTAAAAACAATCATTTAAAAATACCGGTTTGTTTTTAACTAGACCAGTTTTTTCTTATGGACAGCTATATGTTGCGTTATCTATAATTAAGTTTAGATCCAGACTTAAAGTTTATATAACAGACAAAGAAAGATATGTGCATAAAAAAACTATGAACATCATCCATAAAAAGTGTTCAAAATCTTGCTTAGTTTTTATGTTTTGATATATTTTAATTCTATTTTTATATGTTTTGATATTTTTTCGTTTATTTAGTTATCATATTTATATTTCATATAGAATTTTATAATATTTTTATTTAATTTATAGTTATTTATTATTATTGTATATTCATATAATATTATTACTTAAAAATATAGTTAATTATGTACAATTAGTAATAAATTAATATATAATATTAATCACAATATATAAAATATTTTATAGTTCGTATATAGTAGAGGTCGATCAGCTAATAAAAAATTAAAAAGTGAATTACATGTTTTTTAAAAAAATTTTATAAACCGATCACGGTGCGGCGTCGTACATGGGTTTTGTCAACTTCAGAGAAGACGCCCAGAGAGCAATTAACAAGTAGGATGGTTATGGTTATGATAATCTCATCCTTATATAGGGTCGAATGGGCCACTTATATATATTTATTTATATGTTTTCAGTTTCAAACATATTTATTTGCATTACAATTTTTTGTTCTATTAAACATTAGCTACTGACTTTAATGAGAGTTTGAATCTAGCATATACTTTCATCTTTTTGGGGATTCTAGAACAAAATCTTTTATTTCTCTAGTCATCGTCTATGATCCCAATTTTTTTGACAAAGCTGAGTGTGTGTATATGTATTGTTGTTTTGTGAGTGACAGCAAAGTGTTAAGCCTAAGCGAAACGATTGTAATTTAGGGAATCATGGCTTCTTGCTTGTGTTTTGGTCCGAGAAGGAAACGAAATATGAAGCAGAATAAGAAGCTGAAAGGCACTGCTTGTCAGAAAAGCAAATGTGACCCGTCATTCTTCCGGTGACTCTCACTTTGGATAAGAAATGCAACCCGTCAATTTCCTCTAGTTTCAGGCATTAGGACTTCCACAAGAAACTCCGTCTCCTCGAACACCACTCAGATGAAGCATTTCAACAGCCACATTCTTTAATTTAACAAATCAAAAACAAACAAATAGTTCATCAGAGTTTATACAACAACAAGAGAAACTCGAGAGATTATTGATTTGATTAATAAAACAAAAAGATAATATATTTTTTTTTTCTGTTTTGGTTCTAGTTACCTGTCCAGTACTTTCCAGCTTGCTTTTAAGGATAGCACCAGAAACCATCTTTTTCTTGAAGTTGTTTGTCGTTGTGGCCAGTTCTCGAGACGTGAAAATTTTGGTATCGATCTCGTAGCGGTATATCTTCCTGAGCACGGAGCACTTAATGGTTTTGCTACAAAGGAACAAAACAACACAATGAGAGACTGAACTACACGTTATTAGATCAAATAGGTTAGAGATTGATTAACCAAATAAACAAAATTTTGACCTATAAAACACAAACCTTATTCAAGAACGTGGCTGTTAAAATGCTGGATCCCAGTGGTGCTCAAGAAGACATGGAGTTTCTTGTCGAAGAGGATGACGAGTCACGTCTGCATTTCTGGCCAGAAGATGATGGCAGGTCGCGTCTGCATTTCGGACCAGAAGTGTCTTTCAGCTTCTGCTTCGACTTCATGTTTCGTTTTATAGTCTGACTTAAACAAAATGAAGAAGCATAATTCTTGAATTAGGATCGTTACTATCGAACTCTATGGTGTCACTTAGAAAACGACAATACATATACACACACACACTCTCTCTCCTTTGTTAGAAAAATCTGGATGAGAGACGATGAAAGAGAAATAATTGGTTTTGTTCTAGAATCCCAAAAGCCCCCAAACTCTTCCCCCCCCCCCAATCACGAGAAAACAAAGAAAACATATGAAGAGAAACTGTGTGATTTCAGACGTTTGAGAAACATAAGAAGAAGATTTTAGTTGTATAACCAAAAGAAATTGTGTAGTTTCAAACGTTTGAGAACGTTTGAGAAACGTATAAAAAGAAAGAAATCTCAATTGTAGAAACTAAAAGATATAAACAAAAGATATTGTGCGATTTCAGGCGTTTGAGAAACGTAAAAAAGGAATAAAATTTCGGTTTTAAAAACCAAAGGATATGACCAAATTATATTGTGAGGTTTTAAGTGTTTGAGAAACTTATAAAAAGAAAAAAATCTTGATTGTAGAAACTAAAGGATATGACCAAAATTTTTTGTGTGGTTTCAGGCATTTGAGAAACATATAAAATGAAGAAAATTTTGACTGTAGAAACTAAAGAATATAACCCAAAAAATTATATGATTACAGGTGTTTGAGAAACGTACAAAAAGAAAAATAATCAATTGTAAAAATTAAGATATGACCAAAAGAAATTATGCGGTCACAACCCTTCGGGAACATATAAAAGCTAAAAGAGGAAATTTTTTACTATAGAAACTAAAGGATATGACCAAAAGAAATTGTGTGGTTTGAGGCGTTTGAGAAACGTATAAAAGGAAGAAAATTTTGATTGTAGAAACTAAAGGATACGACCAAAAGAAATTGTATGATTAGAGGTGTTTGAGAAACATATATAAAAAAAATCAATTGTAGAAACTAAAGATATGACTAAAAGAAATTATGCGGTTACAAGCATTTGAGAAACGTATAAATGCTAAAAGAAGAAATTTTTGACTTTAGAAACTAAATGATATGTCTAAAAGAAATTGTGTGATTTTAAGCATTTGAAAAACATGAAGAAAATTTTGATTATAAAAATAAAAGATAAGACCAAAAGAAATTGTATAATTAAAGGTGTTTGAGAAATGTATATAAGGAAAAAATAATCTATTAAAGAAACTAAAGATATAATCAAAACAAATTGTGCGGTTACACGAGTTTTGATACAAACTTAGAGGCAGAGGCTGATGTTCCTACAATGAGGCAAGCTCTAAAAACAAGATCAGGAACTAAAGACTTAGCTGCTAGCTTCAACTAAGCAGTAGAGACGCTGATCACTTCCCAATACTTAGAAAATGTCACTACTCAACTTAGCCAACTGAGCATCGCCAAAGAATCAGCAATGGTGAGGGCACGTCTAAACGAGGAAGGCATTTCCAACAAGCAAGAAGACTCCCTAAACAAGGAAGGCATTCCCAACGAGCAAGAAGACTCCCAAAACAAGGAAGACTTTCCCAACGAGCAAGAAGACGGTTTAAACATCATCAACGGTCCTCATATCAAAAGCATAGCTTATACGCACGGATGGCCAATGATTCATGCTAGCAAAGGAGTTTCCTTATTTAACATTACGCTACTTAAGTGAAAATGCTTATAAACCACCTAAACCGAGGTAAGTCCGAGTTCTTATTTCAATATGGTTTATTCAACTAATAAAACTCTTCTTTGGTTGTTTTGGTTCAGCTTTTATTTCATTTAAACATTAGAATAAGGCATGTTGGCCACATTTTATTTACATTTTCGTTTTAAGGCATTGTTAGCCAAGTAGTTTAACCTAAGGGTTTTGTAATCTGTTTCAAGTCCCCTAGAAGGGCAAAGCTGTTCGGACTGTTTATAAAGTCCCCTCACAGCCGTGTATCTTTTGAACATATCAATAAAGAAACGAACTTCTTAGCTAAGTACCAATCTCTTGTTCTCTAAAGCTTTGTATGATTCATTGCTTGAAGTGTTCTTTGTCTTATCAAGGTTTATCTCCATAAAGCCTTGTGGCGACTATCGATCCATCATTCTATTCATCTCACAACTTAGATCTTGCAAATAGAGTTGTACGGCTCTTTGCTTGGTCCCCACCTCGATCCACTTCCTTCCATAGCCCATCCACTGATTGCAAGCCGAAAGAGTTGAACAACCAGCGGCCCAATGCCATCACCATACACGGTTACTAGTTTGTAGACGTGTGTCATCTGGTATCAGAGCTGAAAGGCTCCCTAAACAGGTGTACTCTATCCTTTTTTTTTAATTTTTTGCATCTCTTTCCCTAGTTTTCGTTGATTCTTAGTTCATTCATTCATCTTTCAAAAAAAAAATATATAAAAAGTTCCATTGTTTATTGCTTTGATTCGTTTTCATAAACATAAAATCACAAAAAAATAGTTTTCCCTTTTCTCTATTATTCGGGTTTAGCATTTTTAAAAAAAAAATCATAAAAAAATTTCTCAGTTTAATTTTTGCATATTCGTACCAATTACTACTTTCCATAACGGTCATATTGCGAGTCTCTCAATTACTTGTTTTGGTTAAGTCGCATATTGTTGTATATTGCACTAAGTTGGGGTTCTTTAGTAACTGTTAGGATGGTTCTTTTTATTGCTAAACGTTAGGACTTTAGTTACCACTATTATTCTCATATTTGGTTTAATAAACTAAGAGCCCATTAAACCACTTGATTGTTGAAAGCTTTTCAGATTATCACCGATGGGAGAAGCAGATCAAGCTGATGTTATGAGGCAGATGCTCGAGTCTATTCAGGGCATTAGTGCTAGGATGACTCAACTGGAGCAGCGAATGCCAGCACCGCCCCCTGCTGGAGCCCCTAATGGTCCTAGAAACCGCGAGAGGACTCCCGTACAGCAAGGAGAAATTGAAACTGACGACGACATGCCAAGTTTGGAGGAAGATGATCTAGACCCGAGACGAAGGAGGCACCATGATCGCCATAGGAGAGGAAGAGACCGAGGAGATGATCAACCGTGGCTTGGAGGGAAGGATATCAAGCTTACCGCTCCCACTTTCGCAGGACGAGTTAACCCCGAGGCATATGTGGACTGGGAGAGAAGAATGGAGTATATCTTTGACTACTACCAGTACAATGACGCTAAGAAGGTCTCCCTAGCTGCTGCACAGCTCACCGAGAATGCTCTTTCCTGGTGGGACAGAGAAGTTTCGGAGAGGAGGAGGCATAGACATGACCAAATCACCACTTGGACGGAAATGAGATATCACTTAAGGAAGAGATATGTTCCTTCCTACTATCACCGTGAGCTACAGAAGAAGTTCAGAAAGCTTACACAAGGCACTAGATCAGTCGAGGAGTATTTTGAGGAGTTCGAGCTACTCAAGAATCGCTTGGAGACCAACGAGACGGAGGAAACACTCATGGCCCAATTCATTGATGGGTTACACGATCAGATAGCAAGAAAGGTGGAGAGGACTACTTACCGAGACCTTGATGAGCTCTTACACTTGGCTGTACAAGCCGAGCAGCACGTGAAGAGGATGTCAGCCTCTACAGCTAGGGCTAAGCCCACTTGGAGTTCACAGTCGAGAACCATTGATAAAGGCAAAGCACCAGAAGCAGCTTCAAAGTACAAGAAACCGGTGGTAGAGACATCTAAGGCAGCTATTGGCGAATCAAGCAAACCCCAAAACCAGCGAGCTAGAGATGTTACATGCTTCAAGTGCCAAGGAAAAGGCCATTACGCTAGAGAATGTCCAAATCAACGGGTGATGTTACTCAAAGAAGATGGCGAGTATGAATCACAAGATGAAGCCGAGGCCAAGTTTGATGATTCAGAGGAAGAAGTGACTGATTTTCCTGACGAGGGAGAGTTGCTAGTGACCTGGAGAGTTCTCAGCGCCATGTTTGATCCAGAAACCATTCAAAGAGAGAACATCTTCCATACACGCTGTACCGTGGACACCAAGGTATGTAGCTTAATCATAGATGGTGGTTCTTGTACTAACGTGGCTAGTAAGTATCTTGTAGATAAGCTAGGTCTCAAGAAGACAAAGCACCCAAGGCCCTATCGACTCAAATGGCTGAATGACGAGACTGAGCTAAAAATCGGAGAGCAAGTACTAGTACCATTTAGCATTGGCAAGTATGAAGATCAAGTTCTATGTGATGTTGTTCCTATGCAAGCAGGCCACATTTTACTCGGTAGACCATGGCAGTTTGACAAGGAGACGATACACAATGGCCGTACCAACTTTTACAGCTTCTCTCACAACAAGAAGAAGCACAACCTTTCTCCACTTACACCCCAAGAAGTCTTTAACCTCCAAAAGGCTATGGAAAAAAGAGCTAAGGTAAGTAAGACTAGCCTCTACGTTACTCCTAGTAATGTTTTAAAGGCTTTAGATTCTAAAACGCATGTACTACTCATGATCTTTAGAGAAGGGTTATTTTCAGGTCAAGAGGAGAATGCTTTACCCGCCGAGATGAATGAGCTTTTGGAGAAGTTCAAAGATGTCTTCCCTGATGAGATACCAGCCGGATTACCCCCCATCCGAGGCATTGAGCACCAGATAGACCTTATACCCGGAGCACCTTTACCCAACCGGCTAGATTATAGAGTTAACCCGGAAGAAGCGAAGGAGCGAGAAGCACAAGTTCAAGACCTTATGTCGAAAGGTTACATCCGAGAAAGCTTGAGTCCTTGTGCTGTACCGGTTTTGTTAGTACCAAAGAAGGACGGATCATGGAGAATGTGTGTAGATTGCTGAGCTATAAACAACATCACCATCAAGTATAGGCACCCCATTCCCCGGCTAGACGATATGTTAGATGAGTTGAGTGGAGCTACAATCTTTTCAAAGGTTGATCTCAAGAGTGGCTACCA